AGACAGCTTGAGGCTCTGTCTCAAAAAAAAAAAAAAAAAAGTTGCACTCCTAAAAAAACAGAAGTGTGGCTTTCAGAATGAGTCACTGCTTAAGTGTAGTTGTGCCCTCGGGTGTCCCAAGGTGACCTCATGATCGCAGAATTTTTGAAACTGAAGGAACTGGAAGTGACTTATCCAAGATCTCATCGCTGCTTCAGGCTGGAGGACGTGGACTAGAGCAGTGTTCTTTCTGCCCCAAGGTGGGCCCTGCGCAAACATGAGTTTGATTCTGTTCTCCTGCTTCAGGGCACATCAAGTGACTGCCTTTGAGTGCATTCAGACAGCTGAGTGTGGAGGAAGCAGACACTCTGTCCCCAGCTTGACCTTCTGCCTTAGTTTAAATGACCAAGAAGCAGGCCCAACTCCATGGTCTGGCCTTCAGGTGAACTGAGGCCAGAGTCTTTCATTACTTTTGTTTCCAGGCCTGGCTGGCGGAGGTTGAGGGCCGACTCCCCGCGCGCAGCGAGCACGCCCGGCGGCAGAGCGGCCTGTATGACAGCCAGAACCCGCCCACAGTCAACAACTGTGCGCAGGACCGAGAGAGGTACAGTATCTGTGCCGGCCTGCTCTCGAGAGGGGGAGGAGATGTGCTTTGCATTCATTTCTAAATCCTGGAGTTTGGAGATACCAAAATGTCTGTTACGACTGACTTATGATCAGATTTATGCAGATTTATAATTCAACATAGGTGGTGATCTGAGCGTATGGGGTGATTTAACACGGTTGTAATTACAGCACTCTTGGTGGGGGTTGCATGCAGTCAGTGGGACCAACTCACAGTCCTCTCTGGGGTCCGTCGCTATAGTTGCTGTGTGTTTTCCTTTCTTGAGCAGCCCAGATGGCAGTTACACAGAGGAGCAGAGCCAGGAGAGTGAGGTGAAGGTGCTGGCCACGGATTTTGACGACGAGTTTGATGACGAGGAGCCCCTTCCTGCCATAGGGACCTGCAAAGCTCTCTACACATTTGAAGGTAATGCTTCATGTCGGCCGGATTCTCCTGCCTTTTATGAAACGTGTCTGAGTCACTCTTCTATTTCTGTGACCAAAACTTTCCCTAGAATCCTTCCAGCTCTTTCTCTGCTATGCTTCCATCCTGCTCATTGTAACAATAGTATTTTTATAGAGACAGGGTTTTTACTTTGTCACCAGGCTGGAGTGCAGTGGTGCAATCATAGCCCACTGCAGCCTTGAACTCCTGGGCTCAGTGATCCTTCTGCCTCAGTCTCCTGAGGAGCTGAGACTACAGGTGCACCATGCCCAGCTGATTTTTTTTTTTTTAATTTTTTTGTAGAAACAAGGTCTTGCTATATTGTTCAGGCTGGTCTCAAACCCCTAACCCCAATCAATCTTCCCCCCCTCGGCCTCCTTAAACATATTTTTATTTGGTTGATGGCTGTGTATCTTGACTTTTGATTTGTAAAAACTTTCAGAGAGTTTACGTGGAGTGGATGGGATGGAATAATAATTGTGTTATCCATTCATTTAATATTTATAGAGCTCCTGTCTTGTAAATGGTGGGGAAGGGAGGGAAGCAGGTGGTGTGGCAGGGCACCTGCACGGGGAAATCACGCTGACACACCTATAGGAGGGGACAGCTTGCAGTATTGACAGAGGAGGGGGATGGGGTGCTGGCAAGCTCATGGAAGAATGAGACCACTTTCTTAAAGAAGTTTAGAGAACTCTCCATGCCATGGGCACATGGAATACGCCAGCAGAAAGTGGGAGATGCCATTGTGGGCAGGGGGATAAGAGAAACCTTTGGTTATTTATTTTTTTATTTGTTTATATATTTTTGAGACAGTGGCTCACTCTGTCATCCTGGAGTTGAGTGCTGCACCATCATAGCTCACAGCAGCCACAAACTTGGGCTTGAGCAATCAATCTTCTTGCCCAGTAGCTGGTATGCCGGACTAGTTTTTCTATTCTTGGTAGAAACAAGGTCTTATTCTTGCTCAGGCTGGTCTCCAAATCCTGAGCTTAAGCAATCCATCTGCCTCTGCCTCCCAGACTGCTAGAGTTACAGGTGTGAGCCACCACACCCAGCCAAACCTTTGGATTTTACGTGGTGAACATCAAGGAGCCATTGAAAGTACTTGAGCAGAGTGTGAATGTGGTCAGAGCCGGACCTAAGGAGATTTATTGGCAGCTGTGTAAGATCGGTTAGAAAATGGGTAGAATGGCCAGCAAGACTGGCCTGGCGAGTCCACTCTGATGAACTTAGAAACCATGTCATGCAGAGTGTTCATGAGGATGCCGGAAAATGCAGTCAGAGCTCGGGGATGCGTGAGAACTTTAAAGAGTTCTTTCCTACAGGACTTCTCAGAACCTTTAAGAGATTAAATGTTCCTGTGACAAAACAGAAAAGTAACGTTCCCCGTTTTGCTTCATATCCCACCATCCCCCTGACCCAGCTAACAATGTGCCTTCTGCACAACAGTCTGGGGAGCGGTGACTGCTTTTGAAACGAAACTTAGCAAATGGCCTGGGGACCCTCAGTTAAGGACACAGAGAGACACTGCAGTTGGAAGTTGGAAGGAAAAACAAACCTGGGTCCCGAGTCGCATTCCTGGGACGGTGGAGTTGTCAGTGCGAGGAGGGAGCAGAAGGAAGTCGAGTTCACTCGTGTTGTACGGCCGCAGCCAGGTTGGGGGGGCTCCAGGGGGTAGGAAAAGAGATCTGTGCTATAGAAAATGCTAGAAAGATGTGAGGACACTGCTCAGAGAGGAGTTGATGCCGTGGGAGGTAGAGGAGGAATAGAGAAGAGGACAGGGGTTCCCCCGGGGACATCCCTGCTATTCTGGCAGGAAGGAGAAAAAGGCCCCTGGAGGATTTGGAGACTCCCCTCCTTAGGGAGGCCTGAAGTTCACATGTGGGAGAGTTTCCAGGCAGTGAGTGAGGGTCAGTCCACCTGAGAGGCCCAAGGGGAATGAATTTTTTAATTTTTGTACAGATGTGGTCTCCCTGTGTTGCCCGGGCTTATACTGAGTGAGCTCCCAGACTTAAGCAGTCCTCCTGCCTTGGCCCCCCACAAGCGCTGCGGTGACAGGCATGAGCACCACACCCAGCCAGACCTTAGCTTTTCCCACACTTGTTTCGTCACCATGACCCCTGTTTGCTTCCTACCTGAGTTTGACAAGGAACCTAAACTCTTCTGATATTGCCCTTTCAGGTCAGAATGAAGGAACCATTTCTGTAGTCGAAGGAGAAACCCTGTATGTTATAGAGGAAGACAAAGGAGACGGGTGGACCCGCATCCGGAGAAGTGAAGACGAAGAGGGTTATGTCCCCACGTCATACGTCGAAGTCTATTTGGACAAAAATGCCAAAGGTGCTAAGACTTATATTTAATACCACTTAAAAAAAACTTAAAAGTTTTGGAGTTGTTTCTCCCCACAACTGTCGCTGTTCCAGGCAGTTCTTCAAGAGACTGGACGGCCAGCCCCGCAGGCCGTGTTTCCGTGTAGGCTCCCACTGGACTGAGCTGTAGGCCCCGTGCACCCGAGTTGCCTTGTCTAGTTTTCACTATGATCAAGTTTCTGGCTGAGGAAATTTTCACGGAAAGCTGCCAACTGCCAATTTCCAACTGTGCCGTTCAAAATCTGATACGTGTCTCTTCTTTTGGCGGCCCCTGTAGATAACAGAGTTGCATTCTAACTTCTAATCGGTATTTCTGAATTAAAAAGTCCGCACGCACTCGTCACGCGGGTGCAGAAGACTGCAGTTCTCATGTTTTTATCTGGTATCTACCACAAATCGAACTTTGTTAGGGTATTACGTTTTGTAACTTAAAAAAATTGAACTATGCTAGTTTGTTAAATTTTATGATCATTCACTTGGGAGGAAGTCATAATTACAATAAAATTTCCCCATTTCCCCCTTCTTGATAAAAAAATAAATAAGATTGGTATATTGGTACCAAAAGTGTATAATTTCACTTAAATGTGGTTAACATCATTAGATCATCATTATTAAGCCATTCTAACTATATGATCCCCAATAACCAACTGAGATCTGGAAAAATTTGCTCAATTACCCTGTTGATTTTTGTATGACATTACTGAGCTTCCAGGCTCCACCCAGCTGATGTGCTAGTGCTGTCTTGGTGGGGCACAGCTACCCCTCGGCTCCCTTGGCTGTGACTTTCTGGCACTTGGTTGTTTCTGTCAGAGGTTTTGCGGTAGTAGAGCTGTATTCAGCTCCCAGTGGCCCAGGTCGGGCATGTAATAGAACTTGGTATACCAGCAACTGCTGCCACACACAGGTACCCCACTTTTCAAAGGGTTTTATTTTTTCTTAATCATTGGCAAAGCTTAAACTTACTGCAAATTGTTTCAGAATTTCTGGCTCATTTATATGATTAACTGTAGCCAGAATAAAATAAAATGCTTCACTATCTTTAAAGGAATCTGGGCCACTTGGGAATTTACTTTTTTTTTTTTTTAAGAGGTAGACTCTCACTCTGTTGCCCTAGGCTAGACTGAGTGCCATGGTGCACCCCAGCTAACTGCCACCTCAGACTCCTGGGCTCTGGCAATAATTCACCTGCTTCAGCCTCCAGAGTAGCTGAGACTATAGATGCCCACCACGACACCTGGCTGTTTTTGTCTATTTTTAGTAGAGACAGGATCTTATTTTGCTCAGGCTGGTCTCAAACTCCTAACCTCAAGGGATCCTCCTGCCTCAGCCTCCCAGAGTGCTGGGATTATAGGTAGGAGCCACATACCCAGCCAAGTATACATTTTTAAATTGGCACTAAGGAGGGAGGGTAGATATGAAATTGGGCACATGGCCAGGCACAGTGACTCACACCTGTCATCCTAGCACTCTCGGAGACCAAGGGGAGTGGATTCCTTGAGCTCAGGAGTTCAAGACCAGCCTGAGCAAGAGCGAGACCCTGTCTCTACTAAAAATAGAACAACTAGCCAGGCATCATGGTGGGCGCCTATAGTCCCAGCTACTTGGGAGGCTGAGGCAAGAGTATCGCTTGAGCCCAAGAGACTGACATTGCAATGAGCTATGATGACATCGAGGCACTCTATCCACAGTGACAGCATGAGACTCTGTCTCAAAAAAATAAATAAGAAAAAAGTCAGTCACATACGTAGATGGATACCACACCCAGGATTTCCTTGTGCCCATTGCTAGAATCTGCTCTGAGATAACAGCACCAGCTATGAGTGGATCAGAATAAAGGTGTCAGGCTCAGATTGTCCTTTTACTGGATTTTGAAAACTCTTTGTACGCCTTCCTTACTTTTAAGTAGGAAATTAGCTCCTTCCCTCTCTCCATTATGGGTCCATTTTATAAGCTCAAGTCAATTTAAAGCTGATTTTTCTTTTTTTTTTTAATTTTTATTTATTTATTTATTTTTTAAAGCTGATTTTTCAAAGCCATAGCTGCACATCGGGCTCTAGAACCTGGCAGAAGTGACAAGGGCTTGTCACTGTGTTTCAAGATTCCAGCAGCAAGTTCCCTTAAATTTCACAAGGGCCACCAAAATGGAACTTAGTAACCTTTGCTTAATGGCAGCCTGATTTTTCTAAAAACATACTTTTCATTTAGAGTCTTAGGATGTTGCCGAGAGGGCACAGAGATTCCCGTGTACCCTTCACCCCGTTCCCCCACTGGGCGGCAGGAGTTTTAAAGTAAATGGGAATTTTGGAATAAAAACTTAGTACGAATACTTTTGCTGGCACAATATCCACAAAGCCACTCCTCCTGACCCCTCCGTGGGTTCCTCCCGTTGTTTCAGTTTTCTTTAAAAGTCGGCTGACCCTTAAACAACAGGTGTTAGTTGTAAGGAGCAGCAGCAAGTTTACAGCGTGTTACATGTAACCAGTGAATGGGGGACCTGAGATACTAAAACCTGGCCTTTCTGTCGGGAGATGAACTCATTTCCAGACTGTGTAGTCCTGGAGAAAGCAAACTAGATGCTGAAAATGTCTAAAATGGGGCAAAACAACATTAGCCTTTTAAAAACCTGCCCTGAAAATACCGCATTCTGTCAAATTGTGGTCTGTTTTCCTTTAGTTATGCAAATTTGATTCAGAAAATAGCCCTATTGGCTTGTGAGGAGGTGGTGTTCCTTTGACGCATAAATTTATTCACGATTATTAATCTGTGTGATCAGTGGTAATAACAGATGAATCTGTGGAATGGCGACTAAAGAGTAAGGGTATTTTGTAGTTTCAGTTCCATTTAGTCAATGTGTGAAGTATTAGAAGACAGTGGAACAATTCCCAAGGAAGCGGGGATGCCCATTTCCGCCCCAGGTATACTTGTTTTCTTCCAATAATTCTCAGTTAAAAATAAAAGAAGTGAGTGGCGCCTGTGGCTCATAGGGTAGGGCACCGGTTCCGTATGCCGGAGGTAGCGGGTTCAAATCCAGCCCCAGCCAAAAACTGCAAAAATAAATAAATAAATAAAAGAAGCAAAACCTCAGCTGTTTACAAAGCTTTCTCCTTTTATTTGACAGATATACTTAGAGGTTAGTAATGTGTAGTAGAAGGCATTCCTCCCTTACCTTCTTTATAAATCTGTCCAACTTGCCTGAAAACACTGCTCTCCTCGGGCCCATCCGGTCTAAGCAGCCTGCCACTTTCTGATGGACGTAATGGACAGCAGTTTTTATATTTAATAATGCCAGTGCACTTTGTGTGTGTGTGTATGTGTGTGGTGTCTACAATGTGCTTATTTAATAATTGCCAAACCATTTAGAGTAACTTCCAACTGGTCAACTGGATTGTGAGGTTCTTTTGTGGTTTCATTTCTGTTTTGCAAATTGCTTTCTGTTAAACATAATTCCCTCCACAGCATATATTTGTATATACTGCCATTTAAAAACTCAAATGAGTACTTGAATTCATTGATTTCACGTTTTAGTCTTTTATCTGTTTGTTTTGTTGGTTATTCTGCCGCCTAATGACCTTTTTGTTTTTGTGACTGCCGGAGACCGCATGGCCTCCAGCACTGGTAGCAGGTCCCCTGCTGGCCGCCCCACACTTGAGTTTATTATAAACACTTGGGTTCTGAGTAAGTTTTGTTTTAATATGGCCAAGATGATTGTTTCTTTCTATTCTTATCCTAAAAGAAAAGAATCTGTCTGGCATCTTTTAGTTGTACGCTCGCATCTGCCTCTCTAATAAACGTATTTTTTCTTCAGTGTTGTGTATTTTAAGTGATTTTTCACCTTTCCAAGAAAATTATTCTGTGTACTATGAATACTTAACGCTTTCCTCTTTAGTAACGGGAAATTTTCTGACCAAATGCTTTCTTAAAATTCTGCCTTAATGACACCTTGCCTGTTCCTTACCCTGTGTGTCCTTAGGCCCTGAAAAGTCTGTGTCCCTCACGTTTCTTCCTCCTCAAGATAAAGAACTTTCACTGTTTATTGTTGAATGAACATTGAGTGACGAGCTGTCCTTGTCCCCGGAGATTTTACATTGCACTGCTACAGAGCCAAGAGTTCCCCCAGGAGGGAGAATGCAGGCCTTTGTGTCCCCTGCATCATTCTGAGAAGCCCATCCAGTTCTTTCTTGATCTGACAAGGAAACTCAGTCTTCTGTGTGGGCTTCTTTTTGTTGTTGTTGTTGCAATTTTTAGGCTAGAGCCAGGTTTGAACCCGCCACCTCCAGTATATGGGACCATACCAGCACCCTACTCCTTGAGCCTGTGTGGGCCTCTTTTAACCCTGAAGTAAAGACCAGCTAAGGACTGGAAGTAAAACCGTGAAAGTTCCTTATCTCACCTGTGCTCCAAGTCCCTCCCTGCCTTCCTTTCCCCAGCACCTCCCTCCCCCCAAGGGCAGGGCAATTTGCAGAGCAGAGCAAAATGCCCGCCTCTAGCCTGCTGCCTTCTTCTCTAACTGAGCCTTTCTCTTTCTCTTTCTGTTGTAGATTCCTAAAGGTGGTGGATGCCTGCAAGAGCCTCCCTCAAGCCTTTCCAGGAGAAACCCCTCGGCCTGGCCTGCTTTGTCTCCACAGCCCCTGGCGCCACTGCCCCGCCCTCCTGGAGCATGGCCCTCACCTGCGGCTGTATCCCCATGCCGTGTGTGGGCTGGGCGTATGGCTGTGGGCACCGGGTGGGGCCTTTCTCTCTCTTCCCTTTGCAGCACCCTCCTCATGACCCCTTCCTGCTGCTCCACCCCTACATCAGGGTCATCCTCATTGTCATTGCTCGCCCACCCTCACAGGCCACTGAGACAGTGGGACTCACACACCCCCTCTTCCCCTGCTCCTTCCTGGGCCCTCAGTCCACTGGGGCTCGTGCTGGGTCCTTCCACATTTCACACTGTGCCTTTCGTGGAAACTTTGCCACTAGTCTCCCAGGGAGACTGACCAGATCGGGACCTGGAGGGTCAGACGTGCACCAGGTGGACTGAGCACCCAGTTGTCATGACCCTCGGAAATACTTCCTCTTTTCCCAAGACCATGAAGTATTCTGTGGTCCTCGTCTGATTCTGGGTCTCAGAGCATCTGTGGCAGGCATGGGGAACACACACACACACACACACACACACACACACACGTACGTTTTTGTTGGGAGCCCTGTCTTCACCGGCCAGCCCATTGTCTTGCCTGTGTCCACCTTTCATGAGGAACATTGGCTGCCCTTCAACAGTGGCTCCCTGTCCCTGAGGACTGCGGGGCATGCACTGAGTGAGAGTCTCCCCTCCCCCCGCCCCCCCACGCCAGCTCATGGCCAAGCGGACATTCCTCTTCCTTCCATAAATCCCAAGGTCACCATCGTGGGATTGTAGCACCTTCATCACCAAAGACCCTGCGCCTCCTGTGGCCACAGCTCCTGCATCTTATCACGTGTGCTCAGGCCCTGCCGAGTTAGGTTTCCTTCCCCTCCGGATCTTTAAGGAGAAACTGAGGTCACGTAGCCTGTGGCCCCTCTCGCCTTAGAGCAGCTCAGTCTCTCTTCTTACTTGGTGCAGAAACAGTCAAGAGGATTAATTGGCTATGCGTTTCTGAGAACAAGGTCGCCAGCAGACACCTAAGGATGGAGCCAGGCACCTTTATTCTTTTGTTTGGCTTTTGGTCAGTAGGTGGTCACCTCTGTCATCCTCAATTCTTCTTGATGTTGATGAATCTAAGACAAGAAAGTCCCATGGGAGCCAGAGGGACGAATAGTTGGGCCTGCCTTTGCTCGTGGTTCATCCCGTGTAGGAGATGACTCCTCTCTGCAAAGCGGGGCTGACCACACGCCACCCTTCAGGAGCAGCTCTGTCAGCCCTCAGGAACTAAAATCACAGCAAGGATGTGCCAAGGCGAGCAGCTGAAGAGGAAACATGAGCACATGAGCTTTCTCTCGCTCGCTCTTCCCCCAAAGTGAGGCCCAGCCCTGGGTGCTGGTGCTGCTCACCAGGGAACCTGTGCAGCCCCAGGAGTCTCGGGGCTCCCCATCTCTGCAAGGGCAACCCAGTCGACGCTCACGCATCAGCCACAGCAGAGAGTGGGTTTTGTGGGTTAGATGGAAGCTGGGGTGCTGGAGGGTGGGAAGAGTCGGGGCCTCGAGTCTGTCCCTGCGAAGCAGCAGGTGCGTGGCCAATGTGGCGGGCCCCACTGCTCTGCTCTGCCAAGGGGCTCCTCTGTCCACACAGCTGATGGGAATCTCCAGGAACTTCTGAACTTCACAAGTCAATCAGACCACTCTGCACTCCGCAAGGATGCTAAAGGGTTTTTTAAAATCTGATTTTAGAACCCGGGGAATGCATGTGCAGCGCATCTTTCCTATCATGGGTCAGGACAGATTCATTTCTCACAGCATAGGGGGGAAGGTAGAAGCTATAGTGATTTGTTCTTTTAATGTCTGTCACATCCGAGATAGGATATGCTTGTATCCTCTTGTGTCCCCTAGCATCTTTGTTTTAACATTCTGTACCATCTGCATCCAAAAATGAATGGCTGACGATTGCTTTTAAATGTTCAGCTGTGGTGTTTGCCCCTTCGGTCTGCATGGCTGCGGGAAGGGCGCTGCTGCCCAGCTGGGCTCAGTAAAGGAGTCAGTGACTCTGGGAATCCCGTGACATCGTTTCTGTGTTGTTAGGGACAGCCGCACAGAATAGGAACGTGGGCTTCCCTACAAGCTTCTCTGCCCTACCTTTGGCCACTGCTTGTCATTTCCCCGCCAATGCTAAAAAGTAGTTGTGTTGTAAGATGACTAATTGTAAAAGAACCTGCCCTGAAAATGACTTAAAAACAAAATGAAAGAGAGGAACTTGTCATTTACCCAGTTTTTCCAATGCAGGATGGGAAAAAATTAAAAGGCATGGGAAGCTGTGATGGGATTTTCCTTTGTGAATTTTTATCATCTAGGAGATAAGCCGGTAGCTTGTCTAACCAGCACAGCACAGAGGCCTCTAACGCCTTTTGGTAACATCTATAGTTATAGAAGAAAGTTACACAACATAAAAAAAGTTCTGTTGATACTATTTTTCCAGAAATTTTGGTTTCATGTTTCTTACTGGCTCTGCCTCCTGTGCTTATGTCATCCAAAAACTTCTATTAAAAAAAATTCAAAATTGTATTTTAACGTGATGTTGAGCACCTTTAAACTTTATACGTGTTGCACTAATTCTCAACTGTGGAGGCATTCCACTGTTGTGCAGGCCCGTTGACAGCGTGAAGGTCCTGGAATTGCCCATTTGTCTCTGGAGATGGAATTAAACCAAATAAAGTGCTTCCATTGGAAGGCTTCTGTTGACCTTGTAACTACATGTTAATCCTCTGAATGTTAAATATAATAAAAGTATAACTTCTGGCACGGCGTCATGGGTCTGTTCTCATGGAAGCAGTCTGGTGTTGGAGTCCTCTGGGGTGGGGCTGGCAACCTAGATAGCTCTAAATAAATACCAGCCCCACCCACTGAGAGGAAGGCTGGGGGATGCTGATGCGAAATTCAGGTGCAGGGATTTTGGAGGCTCCTAGGGGTTTTGTTTTTAGCTGCGAATTCTGCTGGTGACTGGCCTTTGGGGGCGCTATTCTTGGGTAGGGCAGGGAGAGGTGGTGAAATGTGAGCAGGCTTGAATCTCAGGGACGATCTGGCATCACCAGCACTCTTGGTAGCTTGACTGGAATCACTAGTGTCTGTAGAAGCTGCAGGCAGTGAGGAGCAGTTTGGGACAACTAGAAAGGGTGGGCCCTGTGTCCACAGCCTTGCGTTTCACCCCAGCGTTTTGGGGGAGGTAGGATTGTTTGGTCCCCACGCCTCTGTTCCCTAATGTGTTAAGGAAAATCAGCAGCTGGGGATGGGCTGGAAACCACAGTGGCAGAACCACCAAGAATTCGTGGTCCTCGGTGACTGCTGAGGTGCCTGGAGCTGCTTCTGCTGATTTGGGCCTCGGTTTCCTTGGGTGTGGCAACATTCCTCGCAGGTTGGGAACAGTGGAAACAACTAGGCGATGTGCTCCCACACAATTCCTTTTGGGGTGCACTGGGGAAGGCTCTCGAAGCCAGTTTCAAGCAAACTCCTGACTCAGAGAGGCCACAGACTTGTGGGTCAGGCTCCTCCGGTAGGTCAGGAAATACCAGCCCGTCTGGGCACCCCGCCTCCACAACCTGCCCTGGGTGTGCCTGGCCTGGGCAGCGGCTTGTCTGCAGGGTCAGTGGCGCCCCCTCGTGGTACCAGGAGGCAGAGCGTGGGCGAGGAGGGCCCTCTGAGGGGTGACCAGAAATGGAAGATGGCAGGAGAAGGTTCAAATATAGCCCCTCCTTTTTTTCTTTCTTTTTTTTTATTAAAGCAAAAGATATTCTGAAATTTTTAAATTCATGGGACAGCCTGGAAATAAAACTCTGTATTGCTGCTGTGAATTGCTACTGCCAAAATGGATAGTGGAGGGAAAGAGCAGGTCCCAAGCCATAAGCCCAGTCTTCCTTGCTTATAGATGAGACTTGCTCCCTGGATGCTGTGCCCTTTTCTGAGAAGGGGTGGTAATCTGTGACGCCAGCACCCTCTGAGACTGATGTGAGAGGGCTCAGCAGCCCTTGTGTATATCAGGAGCCACTTCTCCAGTGTGGCATGGAGTGCCCCCTTGATTTAAACACTATCCAGTTTTGTAACATCAGCGGGGGACATTTCTGGGCCACAAAAGATACAGCAGAAGCATTAGATAGGGCCCCACATACCTTTGTTTTCAGGGCTAAGGGGCCAGAAGCTGTGTGAAGAAACTCACTGGGACCCACTCTCCCCAGCTGGGGAACAGGGAAGGATCCTCTCCACCCCAGGCACCTTACCCTGGGACAGGCTCAAGGGGGCAGTGTCCCTGAGCTGACAGAGGTGAAGACTTTCCTAGGTCCAGCTCTCCAAACACTCTCTCGACTGGGCTGGTGTCATATCAAAGCAAGGCCCAAAGGCTGCATCCTAACATTCCTGAGGTCACTTTCCAGAACGTAACTTGCCCACAGTGTTTACTGCCCTTTGTCATAGCTTTCCCCACAGGCGTTAAGTTTCTACTGCACTTGAGCTGGCCTGTGGTCCCAGCTACTCTGGAGGCTGAGGCAGGAGGATCACTTGAGACCAGGAGTTCCAGGTTATACTGAGCTATAATCACACTGCTGCAGCCCAGCGGGGGATGGGGGGTGGCAGTGGATAAGAATGAGACTTAGTATCTTTAAAAAAAAAATTCCTGTGCACTATCTCACCCCTGTTACAGGAAACAAGTTTCTCCTAGGTAAAGTTGTAGCAGGAAGAGCCAGAGGGAGGTGTGATTCCCAAACCTCACTCACTTCCCCCAGGCTCTCTGGGTGCTGAATAGGTGTAGAATAAGGCTCTCACAGCATCAGCTCTTGGGATCAGGCTAATTTTCATTGGCACTAAATTTACAACAGAACAAAGGAAGAAAGCTACACTTTTGGGGGGCTGCACCTTGCAGATGTACTTTCTGAGGCAGGTTTGTGAGAAGAATCACAGGCAGGACAGGCCTGCCAGTGCTGGACCGCAGACACTCCCCTCTGAGGCTGCAGGGTGGCTTCCTGGCTGGCCCCTCAGAGGCGCTGTTGGCTCCAGGCCCAGTTGCAGAGCAATGGGCTAGAGACAGAGCCTGGGGCACAGAGTCGCTGGCCACTGAGCGCTTCCTGCTCCCACTTGTTTGAGGTGAACCACCACAGACTTGTATTTTGGCTTCAAATTCCAGCATCTGAGTTTGACTGAGCCTGCAAGAGCCAGGTATGTTTCAAGGAGGAAACAAACAGTTTAAGACAAAGTGGTGCCTATTTCTATCCCACCTTCCTGTAGTATAAGAAATGTCTCCAAACCTCCAAAATAAATCCTCTAGACAAAATTCATTCTCATCTTCCATGTTAAACAAGAAGTCAGTCATGAAACATGTACCATGGCATTTCATAAGTATATGACTTTCAAATGTGAGCAAAGCTAAAAATACTCCATAGTAAGAGGGATGAGGGAAATGGAGGCAAGGGGACAGCTCCGAGGTGAGACAAGGCGGCAGATGACCAGAGGGCCCCAATGGGCAGGCCCTGGTCACCCTTCAAGTTGAACATGTTTCTGTATGCTCATATCTTATGGGAATTTACATGTGTTTTTAAGGTAATATATAAAATCTCAAGTTCTCCTGTCCTCCCAAAAAGCTCCCGCAGTAAACCACCCCCCAAAAAGGCAGGGGCTGTAAAACACCAGCATCAGAGACCAGCTGGCGTGGACAGCAGAGGCTGCAGTATAGAAAGGGCTGGCCCCATCAGGAGCCTGGGGCCTGCAGGCAGGTGGCTGCTTATCTCAGTGGCCAGTGGGGGCCAGCCTGTGGGTTGTCTGGCTTCACCCATTGCTCACACCAGACTCTGCTTCTCTGGGCAGCAGCTGGTTCCAGGAAAGGCAAGTTGCTGACTAGTGTGAACAGGGGCCCAGGCCACCTCTCTCCGTCAACTCAGCACCCTTGGTGCAGATGGGCTCAAGCTTCAGAAGTCAAAGACCCCTCCTGCACTGGTCATTTGTGACATGACCTCCACGGCTCCAAAGGCCTGTGAGGACAGAAGACCCTCCCGGCTTGCCCCCAGGGTGGGGACAGAAATCAACTGCAGTAACCACAGAGGCAGCAGTATGGGCTGCAGGGGATGTATCGGTGTTTATTACGACATTCTAAATACAAGCTAGACCCAGCACGCACAGCACAACCTGCACAGCGGACTCTGCAGTGGCCACTCTCAGAAGATGTGGCCAAGGCCAAGAAACACCCCAGGGGGCTGCCTGCCTTGGTGGGAAGGACAGGATCCTGGTAAATCAAGATCCCAGAAGCGCCTCTGCTGGAATGACCTACTGAATCCCCCAACACCTGCCTCCACAGAAACCCGAGGCCACAGTACTTTGGGGGCTTGGGCCCAGGGCTCCCACCCCCACCTGGCTCCCCAGGGCTGGGATGCCTCTGGAAACAAGCCTTGGCTTTGGTGCCCTGAGCGGCAGGACGGAAGCCAGTTTCTCCAGTACCAGCACCCAGGGAAGCTGCAGTAGCAGCAAATGACAGCGGCATGAGGTATCTGTTTCTTCGTCTGGGTCCCTGGAGGGGCTCAGCAACTACTCCATGGGGAGTCTGCAGAGCTGCAAAGCGAACAACAGACCGTCCAGGGGAGGCTCAGTGTGACAGAGACACTGGCTCCCTCTGAGCGCCCCTACTGGTGTGTGCCAGTTACTGAATCTAGCCTCTAGCCTGCGCAAAACCGCTGCAAACGCCCAGGACTTCAGGAGCCTTTCTGGTGATGAGGAAGAGATGCATGGATGAAGCAGGGCCATCAGGAAAGGCTGGTGTGAGCCCCTCACTGCCTGGAGCTTTCAGCCGCTCCTCGCCTGCTCCGACCAGCATCCTCTGCACATCTTTGGGGAAAATGCCTGTGAAGCAGCAGCAACTCCACCCCAGGTCACAGCCTCTGACGGAGGAACAGCGCCAGGCCCCAGGAACAAAAGCTGGGCCCGAGGCAGCAAGGCGGCAGGTTTGAGGGACACAACGATGACAGTGACTGGCGTGGGCACTGCTAGGACAAAGACCCAAATTAACGTCACAGAGTCTTGATTGTTTAGACAAGCCTGACGTGAACGTGCTCCGAGTGCAGCACTGCTCACTGGGCCACACCACATCCTATGTCCTTAAGCACCAGGGTGTCTATGGAGGCTGCTCGCCACTGGGGGCACGCACACCCTCCCCCAGGAGAAGGAAAGCTCAAGGCCTGTGGGCACAGCCACAGTTCCTCTCCCAGCCTTGAAGAAGGTATGTTCAGAGATGTTCTCTTTGGACACTCAAGGGGACAGGAGAGGGTATCTAGAGGAGAGGAAAGGACCCAAGTTCCCTGGAGGGGCCCAGATGGGGCCACTTACAGTCTGGTCCACAAGTCACAGGGCCCGGGTCTCAGCTTCAATTTTTTGCTCCCCGTGTAAGCTCTCTGGGTCCTGTGGCTGGGCCACACTCTGTCGGATGGCGATCTCAGGGCCACCTCCATACAGGTTGTTCAGGTAGGCCCAGGTCTCCTCAGAAATCTGCCCATAGTCAGCTCCTGCCAGGCACAGAGGCAGAGCTGGGTAGAGGCTGGGTGGGGAGGGATGACCACCAGGCAGCTATAAGAGCCGTCAAATGTCAAGTCTCAGCATTTCTGGGAACATCATTCATTTTGCCTCAGAGACCCCAGAGGACACAATCCCTGGCTGTGTCCCTTGTTTCTCAGGGGTGGGGTTGACAGCAACACAGAACAGACAGTAGCCAGTGGAAAAGATGGGAGAGCTACAGGGCCTGAAGGACCAAGGCAGAGGCTAAGCTCCTGACTCTGGATGGGACAAAGACTGGGCAGCTCCTAGGTAGCCAGGAGGGCAGAGTGTCTGGAGGTCCGGGCAGACTCACCCTGCCTCAGCTGGACATGGCCGCTTCCTCGGACCTGCGCGATTCTGCTATTGTCGATGGGCCCAGGGGGCTCTGGAACAGACACGATGGGCTCAGCGCCCCAGCCCCTCCCAACTCCCACCAGAGCCATTCTCAGGTGACACTCAGCAGAGTACAGGCCACAGAGGCTGGCCAGGCCTCAGGGTTGGCAGGAAGACTTTAATGGGACAAGGAACCTGGGTACCAAACGCTCCTCTGCAGGGGGTAGGAGGGGCCGAGGCAACCTTGGACCCCACAGAGGAAGTTTCTAGGACACACGTGAAAGTTTCAGACACCAGCATGTTGTTGCAGGAGCCAGTGGCAAGTGGCAGCATCCTAATCTGACACAGCTACCCTTGCAAGGCCCTCTTCCCAGGCTCTGTCACATTTAATACTCAGCAACCGCAGACTGGTTGGCGCTTGTGCCCTGCTCATACAGCAAACATCCTGTGCACGGGACATACTGGCTCTGCCAACCCTGCAGGGGCCCCAAACCCAGGTCTGAAAGCCAAGTGAGGGGCTTGAAGGTGGCCATGGGCAGCCAAGGCTCAGCTTAACTGCTCTTTGCTGGGGATATGGGGGGACCCTGGGACTCCCTGTTTCTGTCTCTGTCAATCCAAGGATCAGACAACATTGTCCAAGTCATTCCTTGAAAGTCTGGAGCCATCTATCAGCCAAAACCTATAACCTAAGGCAACGGATCCCTAAGGACAGCAGTCTGCTCTGGGCACCTGTAGGGGGCGGGATGAGTGCATCTCCTGCCACTCCCCGAAGCAGAGAGGCTCAGCAGAACCACAGCCTGACTTGGAGCAGGGACCAGCAGTCCCAGCTTGGGGTAGAAGAGCATCCATGCTCTCTGCTCAGCCCCAGAAAACACAGGCCCCAGGCACCCCAAGAAGATCCAAGACCTCCCTCGAGCCACCCTCATCTGCCAGCATCCATGGTCTCCCAGGGCCTGAGTGCCAGGCCCTGACTCACCACTGTCCTTCCCCTTGACGAAGGCCTCCCACTCCCGGAACCACTGCATACTGATGCAGTAGATGACACTAGGGGACTCCTCAGCCTGGAATGCCTTGTTCAGCTGGGCAAGGTGGTGGGGACGGAAGGAAACAGGAGGACAGGGTCAGCATTTTGTTTACCTTTACCATGAATTTCCCAAGGGCCCCACCACATCCCTCACAAGAACATCTGACACTCAAAGTAGAAAATTTCCAATTCCCAGGCATGTTCAAAGACAATGAGCAATCCCAGCACTCAGAGGACCACAGGGAACATTCTGCGAGTCTCTTTCTAATAACTTTTGTATATATTTACTCACACTTTCTCTTTTTTGAGACAGAGCCTCAAGCTGTCGCCCCAAGTAGAGTGCTATGGCATGACAGCTCACAGCAACCTCCAACTCCAGGGCTCAAGCGATTCTCCTGCCTCTGCCTCCCAAGTAGCTGGGACTACAGGTGCCCGCCACAACGCCTGGCTATATTTTGGTTGCAGCCGTCATTGTTGTTTGGTGGGCCCAAGCTGGATTCAAACCCGCCAGCTCAGGTGTACGTGGCTGGCACAGGTGCCTGTGTTGAGCCACAGGCGCCGAGCCTACTCACACTTTCTTATGAAAGATAGATCACAGCTATAGCCCAGGATGAAGGAGAGAAATGGAGTGAGAAGGGAGGGGAGAGGGGAGGTTTGATAGAGGGAGGGTAAACTGTGGGATCACACCTATGGAGCATATTGCAAGGGTACAAGTCAAATCTATCAAATATAGAACATAAATGTCTTAACACAATAATCAAGTAAATGAGGCAAAAGCTATATTAATTAGTTTGATGTAAGCATTCCAAATTGTATAAAAAAATCAACACATTGTACCCCACATATGCATAAATGTGTTCATGATCTATGTATATATGACTTAATAAAAAAAAATAACTTTTGTAAGCCCACTGAAATCACATGGTAGACACTGCTTCCCCGCCCACTAGCACACGTCTTTTGCTCACATCACTGATTGTTCTTACAGCATTATTTTCTGAGGGCCACAAAGTGCCAAGTCCCTCAGGGTCTTCTAGATGGCCTTGACCTTCTACCTGTCTTGGGCTGAATCTAGGCCCATCTGTCTAAGAGCTGAGCAGATGGCCCAAGGGCTTGGCCACTGTGTGGGCCCTATAGGCCTTCAGCCCACTGCACCCCATCCCCCTCCATCGTTGTGACAAATCCATTAGAAGCAGCACTGTAAGGCTCAGTGCCCATAGCTCAGTGGTTATAGCACCAGCCAAATGCACCAGGGCTGGTGGGTTCGAACCGGACTCTGGCCTGTTAAACGACAACAACAACAAAAAAATAGCCAGGCATTGTGACAGGCACCTGTAGTGCCAGTTACTTGGGAGGCTGAGGCAAGAGAATTGCCTAAGCCCAAGAGTTTGAGGTTGTTATGAGCTATGATGCCACAGCACTCTACCAAGGGTGACATAATGAGACTCTGTCTCATAAAAAAAAAGAAGGAAAAGAAGCAACTGCGCTACAGGGAGGGCGTGTGCCTGGCAGCTGGGCACTCACACACAGTTTCTGTTGCAGAAATCCCTCCTCTAAATGGGATCACACTGAGTCCTGTCCCGTAATTTGCTTTTTTCACTGACAGGCCTGGCAATGTCTGGGAGTCACTTAGATTGTCACAGGCATCTAGTGCATAGAGGCCAGAGATGCTGCTAAATGTCCCACAGCATACAGCTCCACAGTGAACAGCTATCAGCCCAGGTGATAGAGCCACAGTGGACAACAGGACATACTTGCTCTATTCCTTCACTAGCTGCTTGGTGGCACTAAGTGCTGGGCCCTAACCTGCTAAACCCAGGAAAAGCCCTCTTAAACATCTTATCCATCTATTCGCCTGCAGAACAGAGCCTGACTGCTCAGGGCCCTTTGTCTCCAGGTCCTTGTGTGACCCCTCCCAGGTGTACCTTGATGAAGGTGTCAATCTCTGTCCTCCTGCGCCTGGCCAGTGCCTCAATCTCCACCTGGCAGATGGAGCACACATACAAGTGGTTCACGGCAGGGCCACCCCCAAACCTGTACCAGGGTGGGAAGGAGAGAAGCACGAGCCCTGAGAGGAGGTGGGGGAACCAGCCTCCACCTGGCAGGCTCCTCCTGCCCTACCCCAGCACCCCGAAGGCCTGTGGTGCCCATCTGTCCTCCTCACAGGGCTGTTTCACCAGGCTGGCAGGGGCACCATGCACACTGGACCCAGCAGAGCCTTCCTGCCCTGGGGACTGGAGGACAAAGGCCTCCTCTGCTGGCTGCTGGGCAGGAGCCATGCTGGCCAAGAACTGCCCTAGCTGCACCCTTAAGACAACGTCACGGGGAGGCTGCAGGTAGGAGGGTAAGTGTCCCAAGGATGCCACAGGATTTGGGGACCCATCTCCTAGAGTTCCTGACTTGCCCACTGGCAGCTGGGCTGGGAGACACCTACTCCTGACTAGCACTGGGGGCAACAGAGCCCCCAGGGAGATGTGGTCAGCCTCCCCTCCAGGCTTGTCTGACCACACCCCAGCAGTGACAGATGCCACCCTCCTGGCTTCAGAGTGACCAATGCCTGGGTTGGTCCCTATGGAAGAGCCTTTGGTCCTGGCAGACCTGAATGTGGAAGCCCCCAGACTAGATCAGCTGCCCCCATCCTGCAGCCCAAACCAAAAGCCACCTGAGCCAAGTACAAGGCAGAGAGAAGCCCTGCCACCCACCAGCCCCTGCCCTGAGGCCAGCACCCCCAGGACTTTCCCTGCAACAGGCTAATGTGCACACTTTTGCTTGGACCAGTCTCCTGTCCTTTGTAATTGGAAGGACCCAACTGGGCTCCCACAACAACATGGCCATTTCAGTGAGACACAGCTGGAGGAGGGGCTGCCACTGCCCACAGCAGGACGGCATGGGGTCCTGGTGGCTTTCTTCCTCCCCTATGCAGCTGGGCTGGACTGAGGCCAGCTCTAGCACTCACCTGTTGTAGAGGTGCTCCCAGACGTTCTGGGGCAGGATGACCACCAGGTCATCAATGTAGTGGTACTTGTTAGGTGGGATGCCTGGGGAAGGAGCACAGGGAGGGGAAAACTGGGGTTCAGCTGGCCACGCACTGCCCTCCATGTACTCCCACCACAGGGAGGGCGCCTCACCTCCATGAGAGCAGAGGAAGGTCTGGTTGGTGATAGGGCCTGGCTCTGCAAAGGTGTTGAACTTGTTGAGCCACTCACGGGACACGTAGAACCGCAGCAGGCTGGGCTCCCGCATGGCAGCCAGGGACACCACCTGCTGCCGCTCACGAACTGCCTCCTCACTGCTCTTCCTGGGGGGAGGGAGGAGGGAGCTTCTGTGCCCAGGCCACTGCTGTGCCAGTGTGCACAGAGCCTTCCCCACCCCAGCATGCCTGTCCAGCACTGCTCACCACCCTCTTGAACACCCTGGTAATTGACCCTACTCTGACTGTGGGACCCCACAGAAAGGTCAACCCTGCGCCTTGGCTCCCCACAGCAGCCAGAGGGCTCTTTCTTAAAAACCCAAATCCTTGGCCAGGAGCCATGGCTGAAGCCTGTAATCCCAGCACTCTGGGAGGCCAACGTGGATGGATTGCTTGAGCTCAGGAGAGCCTGAGCAAGAAGGAGACCCCATTTCTACTAAAAAATAGGAAAATGAGCCAGGCATCATGGCCTATAGTCCCAGCTACTCAGGAGGCTGAGGCAAGAGGATTGCTTGGGCCTAAGAGTTTAAGGTTGCTCTGAGTTATGACGCCATGGCACTCTACCCAGGGTGACAGAGTAAGACTCTGCCTCAAAAAAAAAAAAAAACACACACAAAACAAGAAAAACTCCAAACCCCTTCTCAGCTCACACCTTCCAGGCCCCTTCCCACCACACCCAGGGGTAGGGGCAGGGTGTCCAGGCCCACGGGTCCCGGGGACTGGGGCGATTGCTGCCCTTCCACAGACCTGTAGAAGAGCACGTATCCCTCAGCATTCTGCACCACTGTCTCATGGACCTCGGTGACATACTGGTCATCAAACTCATACCACTGCCCATTGATCACGTTCTGGCAGTAGGCGATGTAATGCCCACCTGTGGCAGCAGAGCAGGCGGGTTACAGGGACCCTGGGAGGTGGGGGGTGGGGGTGGGGACAGGGTGATACTCACTGCCTGCTGTGCCGTGGTGGCAGATGACAGAGAGGAGGTCATAGGTGGTGATCTGGGATGTGCACTCCTTGGCAAGGAAGGGGCGCAGGTCAAGCCCCTCCAGGGGGAAGGAAACGTGGCTGCTGATCTTGAACGAGTATGTGACCTCGTGCCGAAAGCGCTTCAGGTGAACACAGAGAATCTTTGGAGGGGGTGGAGAGGGAGCATGCCAGTCAGGCCTGGATCACCTGCTATAAACGCCCTTGCACTTGATCTGGCACAGAAGCCTCGGCTAGCTGACTCCACAGGGACCCTTGCACTTGACCTGGCACAGAAGGGACCCTTGGCCCAGTCAGCCTCGGCCAGCTGACTCCACAGGAACAAAGAATTACATGTGGGAGCCATATCAGGCTCACGGTGAGCCACACTTCCAGACTCTGCTGTCCAGAGGGACTGTCCTCTGCTAACAACAGGGGAACCTGCACCTGTCCTACCTGAGGCAGTGCCTCTGCACCTCCCTATACCCACCTCCCATGGGCTCTCACAAAACATGTTGAGAGATGAACAAGCTGAAGCCATAAAGGGAGAGGGTACCAAGTCACAAACTGGAAAACGTGCCCCTGCTGCCTTTCCCAAGAGGTCTCTCAGCCAAAGCAACAGCCTGCCTGGGCCCCCATAGTGCAGAACTGCAGAGGTGAAGGGGATCAGGCTTCACGGCACTGCAGTGGCCTGGCACGCCATGAGACACTGGCATGGAGGAGCCTCCCGCTCACCTCGGGCAGACGCAGGACTTTGCAGTACTTCACTCCGTTCCGCAGCCTAGGGGACATTGCGAGTGAGGTCAGTGTCCAGTGTGGGGTGCAGAGGCAGGGAGCAGGCCCCCACCCAGGGTACTTCCTGGAGGGCTAGGATGGGCTCTCTGAGGGAGCCCCCATGGTAAAAATGGGAAGTCAGGGAGAGGCCCTGGAACACACACTCACTTCTTACACCTCTCACAGCTGTACATGTTGTCACCTAGGGCAATAAAACAAAGGGTCAAAAGTTAGCAAGGAAGGGACATGGGAATGGGAAAGGGCAAGGAGAATGATTTATGCTTAAGAAATAAAACCCAGCTGGGTGCAGTAGCCCTCACCTGTAATCCCAGCACTCTGGGAGGCCCAGCTGGGGGGACTGCCTAAGTTCAGTTCAAGCCCAGCCTAAGCAAGACAGAGACCCCATCTCTACCAACAAGAGAAAAAGCTGCCGTGGCCATCTATAGTCTCAGCTACTCAGGAGGCTGAAGCAGGAGGACTGCTTGCACCAAGGAGCTTGAGTTTGCTGTGAGCTATGATGACACCACTGCACTCTACTGGGGAGACAGAGCAAGACTGCCTCATAAATAAATAAAACCCAGAAGGTTTGAGAGAGAAAGCCTGAATTGGACTCTCAAAGACAGCACCATAAAAAGTAAAAAATGGATATATTTGACCCTACAAACATTTTCAACACCTATACAGACATCATCAAACAAAATCAAAAGGCAAAATGGGAAGAAAATACAATATTGAAGACGGAAAACATCTTAAAATCTTAAAATGCTTTTTATTTTTTTAACTTGTTCTGCTACCCAGGCCGGAGGGCAGTGGTGTAATCACAGCTCACTGCAGCCTAAACTCCTGGGCTCAAGCAGTCCTCCTATCTCAGCTTTCTGAGTAGCTGGGACTAAAGTGCGAGCCCCCACACCTGGCCAACTTTCACTTTTTGTAGTGATGGGGTCTATGCTGCCCGGCTGGTCTCAAACTCCTGGCCATATGCAATCCTCTTGTCCTGACCTCGGGGACAGGAGTGAGCCATCCCACCTGACCACAATCTTAATGTATAGTTTCCCCCACAAAAATTTTTCCCACAAAAATTAACTCAAAATAGATCAAAAATCTAAATTTAAGGGCTACAATTCTGAAATTCTTAAGAGAAACCCGAGAAAAAACTTTTTCCCACAAAAATTAACTCAAAATAGATCAAAAATCTAAATTTAAGGGCTACAATTCTGAAATTCTTAAGAGAAACCCGAGAAAAAACTTCATGACATTGGATTTGGTGATAATTTCTTGCATACAATACCAAAAGCATAGGCAACAAAAGCAAAAGCAGATAAACTGGACTGTAACAAAATCGAAAACTTCTTCTCGACACAACAGAATACAGAGCAATCTACAGAACAGGAGAGAATGCAGCGCGTTTACGGTCATTTCTCTAAAAGGGGTTAACATCTAGAATATATAAAGAACTCCTACAACCCAAACAGCAAAATAAGCTGGTTACAAAATGGGCAAAGAATTTGAAGTAGACACTATTCTAAAGAAGGTGTACAAATGGCCAATGCACGCATGAAAAGGTGCTCAGCGGGACTAGTCATCAGGAAAATGTAAATCAAAGCCAGGATGAGATCTCATCTCCCACCCACTGGGACAGCCACTATGTGAAATCGCCCAGAAAATGACAAGTGTTGGTGATAATGTGGATAATCGGGAACACTTGTGCTCTGCTGGTGGGCACATAAAGGTGTGAAGCTTTATACATAAAGGTGTGCATGGAAAACAGTATAGGGGGGCCTTAAGAAATTAAAAATATAATCGGCAGGTGACCTGGCAATTCCACTTCTGGATATATACCCAAAAGGGCTGGAAGAGAAGGTATTTATACACCTATGTTCACAGCAGCATTATTCAAAACATCTGGATCATGGATACAACCTGAATGTCCACTGATGGGTGAACAGATAGAGATGTGGTATAGCCACAGAATTATTCAGCCTAAAAGAAAAATTCTGACTCCTGCTACAATGTGGATAAACCTTGAGGACACTACACTCAGTAAAAGAAGTCACAAAATGCACTGCATGATCACACTTAGATGAGGGGGCCAGAGTAGCCAAGTTCATAAGACTGCAAGTAGAGGCGGCACCTGTAGCTCAGTGGGTGGGTGCCAGGCATACACACGGGGCTGGTGTTTGAACCTGGCCTGGGCCAGCTAAAACAACAATGACAATGGCAAACAAAAAAATAGCCAGGCATTGCAGTGGGTGCCTATAGTCCCAGCTACTTGGGAGGCTGAGGCAAGAGAATCGCTTGAGCCCAAGAGTTTGAGGTTGCTGTGAGCTCTGACACCACGGCACTCTACTAAGGGCGACACAGTTAAGAGTAAGACTGTCTCAAAAAATAAAAATAAAGGCTCGGCGCC